TCTATTTTGTCCTATTTCTTTTTGAGAAAAATCTCACTTACTCTTTAGCTTTCATCGAGTTCTTGTCCTTGACAGTCTTCCATTCATCTCCTTCTTTGATCCGTACTAGATTATATGCTCCTCTTACATCTATTTTTGTATAGATCTTAGCTTGATTCAACTGGTCAAGTAGTCCTAATATCAAAGGTAATGGATACCTATTCTTGATTGTGATCTTGTTGAGTCCTCGATAATCAACACACATTCGTAAAGATCCATCTTTTTTCTTTACGAATAGAATTGGAGCTCCTTCTGGAGATTTTGAATGGCGTATGAAATTCTTCGCTAAATTCTCGTCAATATATGTCTTGAGTTTAGCCATCTCATTTTGTGATAAACTGTAAATTGGTCCAAATGGTGGTTGAGTTCCTTCCTTAAGGTCGATTGAACAATCATATGGACGATGCTCAGGAAGAATATCTGCATTCTTTTTCTCAAAAACGTCTTGATACTCCTGATATTGACTTGAAATGCTACTTGAAGTCTTTACGTTTTCAGAAATAGGTGCAGCATAAATAGCAAAAGTTGATCCTTCTTTTGCTGCGTGTATAAATGCTTTTGCACCTATCAGTACGGGTTTTACTATACTAGACTTATAATTTTTTACTTGGTTAGTAGAACTATTAATAACGCTCTGGAAAAAGTCAAGTTTACGCGAATTCCAATCTATTCGAGGGTTATATTTTTCTAGCCAGGATAAACCTAAAATAATTGGATTGGACGGGGATTTAATTATGTTAAAAGCTATGTAGCTATCATGACCGTCTATTGTTACTTTTATAGGATGAGTTTCATGAGTGACATCTCCAGAAGACAAGGGACGACCATCTATGACTTCTACATGTACTGGTTTAGGTTTCTGTACAAAGGGTATTTTACGACTTTTAACAAATTGTTCATCTAAAGAACATGCTGAGGCTCCCGAATCTAATAAAGCAGAGGCTTTGTAATTCTTATGTCCTAAATATAAGTCTATTATAAAACAAGAAGAGGGTTCTGAGGAGAGGATAGGACCTTCATTAGGAATTGTACAAGGTTCCAGCTGCACGGTCCCTATTGTAGCTGGACGAATCCATTTTCTGACATGTTGTCTTCTTTGACCGTCGTACCCCTCATTTTATAGTTGCGTCGTTTCTTTGGACAATGTTGAGCATCAATTTCTTTACTTCATATTGCAATCCATAAAGAAATTGACTAATGAGTGCAGCATCATCCCACTTGATGTCAATTGCAAGTTGTCAAAATTATGAAGCATACACTGTTACTGAGCGATTTTCTTGTCGCAAAATTCGGATCTTATTTGTTGCAACACGAGTTGCATCGTGTTCACCATACATAGATCGAAACTCTGCCAAAAAAGCTTCCAAATTGTCCAATATTGGATTTCGTTGTTCAAGAAAAGATGAAAACCACGATAATGCAGAACCAAAAAGTAGAGTGCCAATAAACCTGACTTGTGATCCTGGAGTTGGATAGCTTTGCGGTTGAAGTTCAATTTCCAGTTGTACTTGATTGATGAACCCTCAAAACTTAGATCTCGTACCATCAAATTTCTCGGGTAAGGTAATTCTTGGTTCTCTAGTGCTTACAGGGTGTTGTACAATTGGAGAAGGAACGTGATTTGTTGTAGATGTTGAAGCAGCTCTGATCATCTCTATATCCCCACTTTCTGCTATTCTTATTCTTTCATGTGTTGGTGAATTGAGTTGATGCATCGCAAGCATTAACTCCCTCATTTGCTCTTGCATTTGTGCCATTGCACTCTTCATTTCAACAAGCTCTGCCATAATGACACTAAAAAAAAATTGTTTGATACTGCTCAAGACAAAAGAAAAGAAAGACTTGATAACAAAGAAGATACTAAGAATAATATCAGTTTAGAAGTGGGTAATCCCCAAACTTCTAATACGCTTATGTCTTGTCAAGAGAAAGGGGTAATCCACTCTCACTCAAGAAAAACAAAGCTTTGATATTATAAGTGTACTCTTGTCAATCTGTCAAGGACAAAGACTCGATGAGGGAAAATATACAAAAAGGCTATCTCGATATAATAAGTCAAAATATAAACAAGTAGGTATATTAAAAGGAAACTAGAATGGCTATTGCCACAAGACAAGAAACTAAAGACTCTTGAACCTGGACTAGAAGCAAGAAAGGAGTTGACAAGAGTGAAGAAGCCTTCACTCTTGTCTCTATATATACTATCTAACTAGGGGCTACGTGGTGACGTTCTATAGGACCTCCAATATGTGTTGACTTTATAGGACACATGCCTTGACTTACAAGGCAAGTTTTTCTACGTGTGGACCACATAGTTAGCTTGATCTTCAAGCTAACAACATGTGTGGCACATGGCCAACTTGTTGACCACGTTTCTAATCCAAAAAGTCAATTAAAGACACCTATGAAGTCAAAGCAGCGTCTAGGAAGTTTTTAGGAAGCTTCTATATTAAATATTATAGAATTAACTTACTTTTATCTACTTTTACTTACTTCTACCTATTTCTATATGTAATTATTAGCTTACATGATTATGGCCGTGACACACTGCCATAATGACACTAAGAAGAAAAATTTGTTTGATACTGCTCAAGACAAAAGAAAAGAAAGACTTGATAACAAAGAAGATACTAAGAACAATATCAGTTTAGAAGTGGGTAATCCGCAAACTTCTAATACGCATATGTCTTGTCAAGAGAAAGGGGTAATCCACTCTTACTCAAGAAAAACAAAGCTTTGATATTGTAAGTGTACTCTTGTCAATCTGTCAAGGACAAAGACTCGATGAGGGAAAATATACACAAAAGACTATCTCGATATAATAAATCAAAATATAAACAAGTATGTATATTAAAAGGAAACTGGAATGGCTATTGCCACAAGACAAGAAACTAAAGACTCTTGAACTTGGACTAGGAGCAAGAAAGGAGTTGACAAGAGTGAAGAAGCCTTCACTCTTGTCTCTATATATACTATCTAACTAGGGGCTACGTGGCGACGTTCTATAGGACCTCCAATATGTGTTGACTTTATAGGACACATGCCTTGACTTACAAGGCAAGTTTTTCTACGTGTGGGCCACATAGTTAGCTTGATCTTCAAGCTAACAACATGTGTGGCACGTGGCCAACTTGTTGACCACGTTTCTAATCCAAAAAGTCAATTAAAGACACCTATGAAGTCAAAGCAGCGTCTACAAAGCCTCTAGAAAGCTTCCATATTAAATACTATAGAATTAACTTACTTTTACCTACTTTTACTTACTTCTACTTATTTCTATATGTAATTATTAGCTTACATGATTATGGCCATGACAGCTTGTTCCACAAGTTATCTACACATGCGACATGTGGCTAACTTATCAACCAAGTTTTTAACCTAAAATTCAACTATAAACACGTGTAAAGCCAAAATCATGTCTATAAAGTTTCTGAGAAGCTTTTTTAGAAGATATTATGATATTAATCTATTTTTATCTACTTTTACCTATTTCCACTTAATCATATAGGTAATTATTAGAGTAAGTATGTATGCCCATGATATTATTTAAGAATGTCAAAAAATACCAAAATCAAAAATTATTTCTTTGTTTCTCTTTTTATTACCACCTAATGCAAGTACCATAATCATCAAAGCAAAGGAGGATTGTGCTTTGAACTTGCATCATTATGATTCATTTCAACATAATCTTTTCATACAATTAACATTAACAAGCCTTGTGAATTCTAGGTTTGATTTACTTTTTTAATAAAAATAATGAAGCATGTAGTGAATCAGCATGCCATTTTTTCTCTCCATTTCACCTTGTATATTTGTCTCCCATTTGAGTTTTTTTATGTAATATATATATATATATATATATATATATATATATATATATATAATTTTTTAATTTTTTTCCTTCTCCTTCTTTTGTAATAATATATAAACATATTATATTTTTAAAAATTTGTCAACATATATGCTTTTGATGTTAGTTATTATTACAATATTATTCCATTAAGATCATTTTTTTATTTTCTTTCAATGATTAATTATTATAATAATTAAGTATAATAACATCATACAAAATTTATAATAAAAAGAGCTAAAACAACATTAAATCTAACAATAGATATAGATACAATTTAAACTTGAGTTGATTTAAATCTCTCTATCTCTCTCTCTCTCTCTCTCTCTCTCTCTCGCTCTCTCTCTCTCTATATATATATATATGGAAATAGATGTAATAAAATATTATTAAAAATAAATTTCTCATGATAATTTAATGTTAGCAATCAAATTCATGGACATGCAAACACATACATACACACATACACTTAAATATACTTACTTTGTGAATTTATATACATTTGAGCTGTTTCTAAAGCTAGATGGTATAATTTCAATTTTGCTTCATGTTTTTTGTATGTAGAGTGAGGCATTACGATCAATTCGACCAACTCCAGATTCAAAAGCCATTGCCGAGCCCTCCACACCACGTGCAACTCCACACCACAACGTGCTTCATTAATTAATTAATTAAAGAGAATCTTCTTCTTCTTCGTCCTTCTGCTGGGGTTGTTGGATGTCGTGCCAGCTGGATTAGGGCGTGTAACGAGTAGCAGAAACCCAGGTGAACCCTGACCCGAGCCTAATTATACCCGGACACAATACTCGCCCCACGAGAATCTCGTGGATGGATGATAATCCACATCGACGCCAGCTTGCAAACCTGTCGGGGGTCGACGCCGATCTGAATGAGAAGACGTCAGATGTCCCATTTGTCGGCTTCGCAATGGCTGCGAGGAGGACGGGTACCGATTTCCGCAAATGGATGAAAGTGGGGATGGGTCACCACGTGCTGGCTGAACTGGGGGAGGACGCACCAACCCACACTTCGCGACGACGGTCATCGGTGCCCGAGCGCACGTACGTCGCTTGGTGGGGTCCATGCCCCAGGGAGAAAGGGGCAGTGAAAACATGGAACTGAGTCACCAGACTCTCTCACTTCGCAGAGTGGCTGTGGGATCTGCTCGACGGGGATCGATCTATCTATTGGAGTGTGTGGTCGATCGCACGCAATGGCCAGGATGAGCCGCATCGTGCTGCTCGCCCTTCTGGGCACCTTAGTGCTGCTGGGATCCATGGGGCACTTGGTGGCTAATGCGTCGAACGCCGATGAAGAGGTCGGGGCTTCAGAGTTGGAGGGGTTAGTCTCGGGGGAAGAGGGAGGCGATGGCGAAGACGATGACGCTGACGCCGACGAGAGTGTGGATGAGAAGGATGTGGTCGTACTCGGTGCCAAGGATTTCGCCGATTTTGTGAAGAGTAACAAGTATGTCTTGGCGGAGTTTTACGCTCCCTGGTGCGGGCATTGTAAATCCCTGGCACCGGAGTATGCTAAAGCCGCCACCGCGTTGAAGGATTCCGGCGCGAAGCTCGCTAAGGTTGATGCTACTGAGCATAGCGATCTGGCTCAGGAGTATGGTGTTGAGGGATACCCAACCATGTTTTTCTTCGTCGATGGCGAGAAGAGACCTTACAATGGCGGACGAAACAGGTTTGCTTTTGTTTCCCACCATCCGGATCTGCTAGGAGCTTGTTTGGATATCCGAAATTTCCACTTCTATCAGAACGGCTGTCCGAACTGTTGTCCCAATATGTTGCTTGATGTGCTTGGCTGAGATTCCAATTTGTTTGGTTTTGAGACACCTCTTCTCCTTGTACAATATGTGCTTTTTTGTGGAATTGAAACTATCGTTGTACATGTCTATGCAGCCAAAGGAGAGTAAGGAAGTTTTTTGTGTCTCGGTTGTGCCAACTTCTTCTAATCCTATTCTTAACTGGGCCAATTCTAGCTCAATTTCCGACATCCACTCAGTAGGAATGATAGTTGCCAATCATGTATCAAAGTTCAATCTAATCTTTCGGGAACTATGCTGGTTCAAAGTGTGTAACTGGTAACTTAAATCGCGTTGATTGTCAGAACCGTATATCTAAAGTGATGAAAAAAATGTAGTGTCATGTGTGATCCACGTTGTAGCAGATTCCGATAGACATTTGTGCTTTTCGTCACCTTCCCTAGATGTTTTCCACCCGTCAGTGAATACTAATCATAATGATATAGACCGACATAAGATTCTCCTCAATTTATCTATTTTCGGCTACCCACACAGCAATTTTCGTTCGATGTTTGACTATTAAAGTTCATAAATTTTATCATTTCGCTCAATAGTTAACACCTATCACAATGTGACGAATGCAGCGATGATATCGTCAACTGGGTGAAAAAGAGAATGGGACCTGCTGTCAACATTGTCAAGTCAGCAGCTGACGCTGATGATGTCCTTGAAAGCCAGGCTCCCATTGTCGTTGCCTACCTTGAAAGTGTTGAGGGTGCTGACGCTGACGAACTAATTGCAGCAGCAAGATTGGAAGATGGAGTTGAATTCCACATGACAGCTGATGAACAAACTGCGAAAAAGTTCGGACTTGACAAAAAGGCTCCTGCTCTCGTCTTGTTGAAGAAGCAGAACGAGAAGGTTGCGACTTTCGGTACGTAAAAATATATCCTGAGGATCTCTGAGCTTTGACATATACTGCTTATGAGCGAGTTTGATAACGTGCGGTGATACACTTGAAGATCTAAGTTTTTTTTTTCTCGAATTGGTGTATGAGCAGGTGGAGATTTTGAAAGAAAGGCTATTGGCGACTTTGTCTCGGAGAACAAGCTCCCTCTCGTTATTGTGTTTACTCGTGACACAGCCGAGATTATATTCGAGTCTGATGTGACGAGACAGTTGCTTCTGTTTGCGAATCCTGAGGAATATCAGAAGATCCGTGCTGATTATGAAGAGGCAGCCAAGTCTTTCAAGAAGAAGGTATGATGTGCCACGACTTCTCATTAACTGTGTATACATATTCGGTAACCCCAATTGCCGTTCTTAACATCGCTGATGCTACTGGTGGCTGCAGATTACCTTTGTTCTCGTGGACCTCGCTGATGAGGAGGTGGCCACTCCCGTTCTGGACTTCTTCGCACTTGACAGCGAGAAGACAAGGGTACTTTCCTCAAGCACCTCGACGTTGCATTATGTATTTGCTCAAGTACTTCGATAGTTCACCCTTGGGTTGGCTTCTGGTTTCGATAATTCGCATGACACGCCTGGTGGTTGTTTTTGAGACCCTCCATTTCATGCTGACAGTGTTTAATTTTTATTTTATTTTTCTCAATATCCTGGTTAATCATCATCTTTTAATTTCTCTAGATATCCGAGTAATGCGATTCCTGTGTGAGCTCCGATAACAGTGGTGCCCGTGTGTCTCTTATTTTAATGCAGCTATTGGGATTTGTAGCTGAGGAGACCAGCGGCAAGTACCTGCACGATGGTGACTTCAGTGTTGACTCACTCAAGGTAAAATTATAACAGAACGGTTGTGATGTCCATGCCACAGAACATTTCCTGAATTGTCTAATTTCAAATAGTTCACCGGTATGCTTGGTATGGAAAATCCAGTCTGTATTTGTTGATTTGTTTATGGTTTCATCGTCAGCACAAGGCTGAATATAACGAGATTTTTCATTTATCGTTGCAGCAATTTTCGGAGAAGTTTTTGGCTGGAGAACTGACCCCGTTTCGCAAATCACAGAGCCCTCCAAAGGAGGTACGTTTAACGTTTCTGAAAGCTGCATAATGTGCTCTTTATTCTAAGAATCAACTGTTTGTTTGGAACGGGAAGATTTCGCCGCCATCGTATCTTTGCACTAAATATTGGGCAAAACTAATGGTTGCTCAATTCGCGTTCTCAGAACGATGGACCAGTGAAGATTGTTGTATCTTCAACCTTCGACGAGATTGTCTTGGATGAATCCAAGGATGTCGTTCTTGAGGTACAAGCTTAGCATGAAGCGATTATCTTTTCATTTTGTGATTTACTTGTCGGATGTCTACAGTTCATTGTGATATTTTTTAATGAATGTGTTTTGTATTGCTTCATTGTTTATCAATTGTGCACGAGCATTATTCGTTACAACTCACTTTTAGTTTTTAAATGGTAGAATGTTGTGCACTTTTAATTGATTCGAAGATATGCTGTCTTATTCAAGTGAATTTTTCTCCTGCTTAGGTCTATGCCCCTTGGTGTGGTCACTGCCAAGCTTTGGAGCCAGAATACAACAAGCTGGGAGAGGTTTTGAAAAACATCAGCTCGATCGTGATTGCAAAGATGGATGGCACCAAAAACGAGCACGAACGTCTCAAGGTTAATATTCCTACTTACGGGTTTCTTGCTTAGCAATTGAAACCCACCCCGATCTTCTCCTAAATTGCAAATTGCTTTAAAATCGTTCGTGCTCTCTTAACACGTTCTGTCTGGTGTACCATTCGCAGATTGAAGGGTATCCTACCATTCTCTTCTTCCCAGCAGGAGACAAGAGCGTTGAGCCTGTAAGTGTCTCGTACTACTTGCTGAACCTTTTCAACGACAAGTCTAGCTCGCATGCACCTAAATCGAATTAGAGTAATTTCTGATATCTTGACTGAAACGAGCCCTTGTTATTCTCAGACTCCTCTTGACACGGAAAGGACAGCAGCCGGTATCGTCAAATACCTGAAGGATCATGTCACACACAAATTTGAAGCGCCTGATGTCCCAGAGCCCGAGACCGAGCAGGAGCAGGAGCAGGAGCCTGACATCGACTACTCAGGGGAAGCTGAAGAGGGCTACCCTGAAGTCGACGAAGAAGCTGAACAAGAAGTCGAAGAACAAGTAACTCCAGTTGAAGATGTTGACTTGAAGGACGAGCTGTAGAAACTTTGTCCACTGCAGGACATATCCTTTAGCCATAAAGTCTCTAAGAGGTGTTAGTTTGAGAACTTCAAAGGAGGTAACCCGTGGCCTTACATCTTAGAGCTGTCAGATAGTTTTTTACATCTGGATGCTCAGTTTTCCACAGTGAAACGGTTGTACCCACCTGAGATCAGTTCACGAAAGGCAGTTTTCGAGTCCTGCTCTGCTCACTTCGGATCGAGTCTTCTCATTCTTCGAAAGTACAAAATTTACATGGGAGAGCTGATTTAGGAGTTTACTCTGAAGCATTGTTGTGATGACTTGCTGATTGTTCGTTTTGTTAGGAGTGGGTTTTGCTCTACAATCTGAAAGGTTATTAAAATCTTCCTCTGCAGAATTGAAGAAGAGTCTGGGTGAAATATGAAGTACCTTGATTGATATTGACATTATCATGGAGTATTTTTTTTTCAAACATGTTGAAAAGCACTTAAATCTGTAATACATTGTGAAAAGCTCGTATACTTCAAAAGTTGAATAATAGCAAGACGTTTAAATTATCAGTTGTTTGAGATGATGCATATGAGTTAAAGAAAGTCCAGTTGTACCTTTCGTCCTTCAATCAATATTATTATCATATAAATAAATAAATTACGCATAACAACCTGTAATATAATTTATCTAAAAACAAATACTCAACTTCAGAATGTCACAGTCAGGGTTTGATGGCAGGTCACACTTGGTTTTAATATTTTGCAACTATGCATCTAATATAATACTTCAATATTACTAGTGAGTAATTGTTTTTGAAAATTTACAATTATCATACAATAAATGTCTATGAAACCAATACAAAGATTTCAAATTTGCATAAGATATTAGTTCTTAAATAATCAAAAAAAAATGTCAGACATTGCTAGAATAATTTTTTAACTAACAATCCCTGCAAAAACTATGCCTACTAGTTGTATAAGTATTTTTTGAATTTTTTTGTGCTATTGAACTAGAATTGTGATCAATAGGTCCTAAGTAAATCTACTTTAATCAAAATTTGCATTTGAAGTTGTTTGACCTTTGAATCACTTCTCAAAATGAGGTCACTTCAATTGTATAATTAAGTTTTTTTTTTTTTTTTTTTTTTTTTGCAAATCTTTTGGTCAAGAAAGAAAAGGAATTGATGGATGGCAAGTAGAGAAACAAAAGAAAAAAACCAATTCTCAACATTAGTCGAAGTCATTTTGCTCAAATAACATCTTTAAGCACATGACATTGCAACATCTTATGAAGTTCCAAGAGTACAACAATGCTTGACAACAAAAAGAAGAATCTTCTAGTGTTTTCTTAACATTCTTTTTTTAAAGTGTAATAGATGTTTATTTTGAATATGGTGTTATTAATGGTAGAAAGCATTGCATAACAATCATAAAAGAAGTCATCAAAATAATTGTTCAAACCATATTGTTTAGTGGCAAAGAAATGATTATTAAAGTTATTGTAATGAGAGCATTTGTTTCTATTCACTTATAGCAAAACAATGTGAATCTAAACCATCATTTTGTACAAGATGATAGTGAATGTGTCTTTGTTGGCTATATTGGTTGTGTTATGCCTACCATGTCTCATGTCAAAGGCAATTTTTACTTAATGGACTACCAATGAAACAAAAAATGCTGAAGTCTAATTGGTTTCTTGTTGGAGGTATTGCACTCCAAACAATATCATTTGCTTCAAAAATTGGCCACACATCTTTAATAGGAGAAGAAATAAACTTTACTTTGCTCTATTTTGATTTATCAAGCTTAAATTCACTAATTTCTAATAATATATTTTTATATATTTTATTAGTAGAAAGCTTAGTTCTATATTAACTATAATAAGATAAATAGAAAATATCTTAAATTAGAAGAAATTGGCCATAAGATATACAAATTTTAAGCAAAAAGATTTGTAATTTTTTTCTTCTAATATATATATTCAAAAAAAATTAAAATTTTGATATATATATATATGTATATATATATGTATATATATATCAACAATAAATTAGCCATAATTTAATTGATTTTTTTTCTAATATTCAAACACTAATACAAAGACATTATAATTTTTTTGGAAAAAAAAAAAATAACTTATAAGAATTTGGATTTTTAAAATTTCATTCCAAAAACAAGATTCAATGTATTTACTTGGCATATAAGCATGTATATATATATATATATATATATATATATATAATCAACATCTCAAACTAATTATTTTACTTTCTGCTAATTTTTCATCTTTAAAGATCTGGTTAAAATTCTTATTTTATAACAGACATTCATATGTTTGAATTCACATACAAAAGTAATTTATAATGGTATTTGAGTTATCTTGTAATCTATATTATAGATTAAGTTTTAAAATTTATTGGTTCTACTTCTTTACAATCCAAATACTTGATTTGGTTTAATACCTGTATAAATCTATCTTATAAATTTATAATATCTTTGATTTTCTTTTTTGAGATTAATAGCATAGAAGTTGTTCAAACTTGGTAGAACAAATAGAGTGGGAGCATTAACAATCATGATGGCTGGTTTTTGAACAAGTGTACCCATTTTATTCCAAGAACTCTAGCAGCACACCATCTTCATACTTACCCCATCATATTCCACAGTTGGTAATGAAATCTAAGTTTTTAGGACTAGCACTTAGCTAATCCAATAACAATGGCTACTTTTGGTAAATGACATTCACATCTCCAAGACTCTGAGATCTATTGGCAACAAGTATCAACACTATATTTTTAGTGTAGAGACATTGCATATCCACAATGTTTATTCCTAATAATCAAACAAAGATGCGAGTGTGATTTTCTAATCCTTATGATCAAGCAACTAATACTACCAGCCAGGTGCCCATGCACCTTGACACTCAGCCTTGAGGCAGGGAACAATGCAATACGTTCAAATTATAAATGTGACATTCTACATGTGGTTTTCTCACCTAAGGAGCACAATGTAATTGATACTATCCACATCCAAGTCATTCAACTAAATGCCATTGGCCACATCTTGGACAAAGGCCTGAAACAACCAGCATTAAAGAAATGAATATGTGCCACTTTCTATTGTTCCATGCAAATATCCTTACTTGTATGCAATGGTTTTTTTGAGATGGCATTCTTGTCATTGAAGCGCATGTACTATGCTATATACTCAGTTTTGAAATCCAAAGATAAAAAAATATCCTTCATATCTTAAAATCCATTCTTTTATGCTAAAAAATAAAGATACTTCCAAGTTCCTAGCTTATTTGATATGAATCTAGTTCCTTGGCTTAAACCAGTACCTATGACACATGAGTTGATTATAGATTCTTGCCTTTCTCATTGAAGAGGTCAATTTTATAGAAGAAGTTTTTTCTTGTGCCAACAAAACTGCAAGACCAAGAATCAAGATTATAATCAAAGATGTCACTAAAATTCTTGAAAAGACAAACCTTCATGGCCTTATACTAGACACACCTCAACTTCACAAAATCTTAGCCCTAGGACACCCTTACTAATATCCCAAATGTAGAGGATTTAGCCACTTCCAATGAAAATGTAAACCAAGGACACACAGCCACAACAACTTATAGAAGCAAGAAAGACCAACATTTAAAGGCTCGGCCCCAAGACTGCAATATCAAAACATGGTAGGCACCACCAAAGATAAGAACTCACAAACTTGCTCACATTAGTGTAATCCAAGACCAAAAGACTAGGAAGGGAGCCCTATACAAGGACAACACTAAAGGAGACATACAAACAACCTCTCAATTTCCACAAAACACTACACAACAACAACAACCAAATTCACAATTGAGAGCAACAGGGAATACAACAAGCTCAAACAACATAACACCGCTCTTTGCCTAATATGCGCCAACACCACCTCGACTGGAATCAGTCATCACACAAGATTCAAATACATAATGTCTCAATTTCCACACTCCTCCAATACCACTAATGGTATTCAGGGCCTTACAATCTCTGAAGATACATTTCAGCACATTTCAGCATAGAAGCTGTTCATCCATATGCTGAGCACAAATCTATCTTCTGATTATTATTATTATTTTTTAAAAATTAAAAATTGTGTAGTGGGATTATGTATGTATATAATGTAAAAACACTTGTTTTTAATTTTGTAGAAGATACCATTCAAAATTTCAATCAATTCCAACAAACATTACAACAATGCTCAAAAAGTAAAAACTTTGCATGCCATACAATACACATCACATCATATGGTTACTGTAAGGAAACTATATAATTTGCTCATTAGTCTTCCATAGAATTGGAAAAAAGATGTTGATCAACATAACAAGTTTTCTCAAGCAAGTCCAAGCTCATCAAATGAAGAGTTGTCTTTGCATTCTTGATAGCAAAGCCATCAGTCTCAAGCACCAGTCCTCACAAGTAATGCTACAGTTTCATATATATTATATACTACAAATTATTAATAAATGACAAACACACTAATTCATGTATATATGTATATATACACACACACAATTTGTTATGAGCAGAGGGTCATGTACAGGTTCATCACAATCCATCATGGCATCATCACAACCCACCACACGTGCGCCGCCACACTTGGATTGAGCCCACTATATTTGGAGGCACCCAATTTTACCTCCCCCATGTCGCAGCATTCGGCAGCATTCAGTGGGTTTTACTGCCACTTTAGCCCCCCTTTCTTTTCGTTTCCTACTTTCTTTTTCTCTCTGAATCTCAGACTGTATTTATTTGTCCACGTATATCCCATCTTTTTTATCCACTAATCCACGACCAGGAAGTGGCACTTAGGGAACCGGTAAACCAAGACAGAGACACCCAAACGGACGCTGCGTTCAACCCCCAATGGCCTGAATTGACGGCACCCTACTTCAATGGCAGTAACTGGCTCAGGCGGTGCCAGCTGACTTGCTGACTTAGCTCTTCCTCGGCAGCGGATAGGCTGACTGAGGATTTCATTCACTGGGCTCCTTATGGATGGATGATCTCAGGTTGGTTAAATGTTCCTATTTGGGATGCTATCAGAATGAAAGTGGATGAGGATTGGATTTCTCGTTTGTTGAGACAAGTTGTTGGAATGGATGTAACAACAACCCCCTTTGTGATGGACAACGTATGTTTCACGATGAGACTTGTTGTGGTGTAATTGTTCATGACAATCACTGGAGGATTAAACAACGAATTCAATTTCAATGGCAACAATACAATATTACACTGTATGACATATATATATATATATATATATATATACATATATATATAGACACCAATCTCTTATTGTTTAGAACTATTTGTTCGCCTTTGCTATTGTTGACAATTACAATAAATTGTAATTTACTAAAAATACATCATTGATTTTTTCGTACATACATTTCTTTTTCTTTTTATTCCAAAAATAGACAAGTGTTGGATAGCCCCCCTAACGTCGTCAATTCTTAGTCACTCACTTTTTTTTTTATTATCGTACTGACAGTCATTGGGTGGAAGCGGTGAGGATATTTGTGCCAATGAAACGGGCGGAAAGCGGATAAAGACGAAAGTGAACGAAAATCGTCGACAACATTGCAAATGGTCTTGGGATCGAATCTGGGGAGAAGGCGGTGGAGGGCAACGTACCGTGTGAACGGGACGGAAGCGGAGCCGGTTGCAAGATTTTGAGGTGGGGGGGGGGGGGATGAAACCTCGAGAGCAGCCATTGTCCTCAGAATTTGCGGTCGACGCTCAATCGCCGATCAGGTTGCTCGCGCCGACGTGGCCAGGCCTGGCGCCAAATGGGAGACCGCAGTCGATGAGTCTTTCCGATTCCTCCACATCTTTTCCACCTTTTTCTGGAAATCTCGGGGAGTTCTCAGCCTTGAAAGGGGTATGTGGTGCAGTGCAAGGCACACTTCTGCAACAGTCCCGTGAGACAGTCCCATATTGAGGCCTCTCCGATTCGTGGACAGTAGTAGTTTTCAATCGGCCGAGGAGTGTGCAATTGTCGTGTAAGTGACTTGTGACGCCCACCTGAGGTAATTGAAGAGTGGGATTTTGATGGGTTTTTGGTCTTGTGGAGACATCTTGCGTGGTTTTGGTGGAAGTCCGATGTAGAAACGGTGATTGGAATGTTATGAGCGGAATTGGGTTGTGGGATTGAGTGTGTTGAGAGCTGTTTTTGATTGGTGCGGTGTGGGTCCTGCAGGAGGAGGACCAGCCGAGGGCGGCGTGTGAAGAAGCGTTTCTGTTGCCATGGATCCTTACAAGGTAGGTGTTTCCTCACTTTCGCGATGTTCTTGACGCATCTTGGTCTTTGAGCGGTTCTTCAGACTGCGGTATGGCATTATTGATTTTCTATGAAGTGATCGTAGTTTCTCTGCGAGTTTCGTTAAAAGCTTTGGGATTCGATTCGAAGAGTCGGAGCGTCCTCTGTTGGTTTGTCAATTTTTTTAATTGTGTTGAGTATTACCGTAGTTTTCAACCCTGATGTTGGGTTTTCAAGATTGTAGAATGAATGTACGTGTCGTGCATATTCTTCTTCGTTGGTTTAAGGAATGTAGATTCTGTCCTCAAACAGGATTTTTATGCCTGCGACATGCCAGGCAACTGATCGCTCACCTAATTTCTCCTTTCTGGAATGGTTAATTTGCAGTATCGACCATCGAGCCAATACAACACACCTTTCTGGACTACAAACCAGGGATCACCAGTATGGAACAACAATAACTCCTTGACAGTTGGCCCAAGAGGACCCGTGCTTTTGGAGGACTATCACTTGGTGGAGAAGTTGGCCCAATTTGATAGAGAGCGTATCCCAGAACGTGTGGTACATGCCCGAGGTGCGAGCGCCAAGGGTTTCTTCGAGGTTACACACGATATCTCGCATCTGACATGTGCTGATTTCTTGAGGGCCCCAGGTGTGCAGACCCCGGTGATTGTTCGCTTCTCCACTGTGATTCACGAAAGAGGTAGCCCTGAGGCCATCCGCGACCCACGTGGGTTTGCCGTCAAATTTTACACTCGGGAGGGTAACTTTGACATGGTTGGCAATAATATTCCAGTCTTCTTCATCCGAGACGGTATTAAGGTATCTTCTACGCTTATTCTACGTGCCTTGTGGTACATGAGTTTGCACAAGTTAGCTGTAATATTTACAGAATCCTTCTGGTCAGATATTTGCGATGAAGAAAATAGCAGTTTCATACGATAGAAGAAGTGACAAGCATAACTTAGGGTGATATGATGATGCTACTGGATCATTTCGGATCACTAAATATTGATATCAATTGTGTGCAGTTCCCTGACATGATCCACGCCTTGAAGCCAAACCCAAAGAGTCACATCCAGGAGGCATGGCGAATAATGGACTTTTTCTCGCACGTTCCCGAATCCTGCAATATGTTTACTTTTCTGTTTGATGACATTGGTATTCCTGCCGACTACCGTCACATGGAAGGTTTCGGTGTACATACTTTCAAGGTACGTCTGGATATAATAATTGGTTCCAGCTGCGTCGGTCATAACAGAGTTTTTGCGCGTGCAGATGCTGAGTTTACCCTTGAAGATTTAATACTGTTCTTGGTGCAACCGTGCTCACAATGATGTTTCAACGTGCAGTTGATTAACAAGGCTGGAAAAGAAACCTATGTCAAGTTTCACTGGAAGCCTACATGCGGTGTGAAGAATCTGTTGGACGATGAGGCTGTGCTAGTCGGTGGTGCTAACCACAGTCACGCTACTCAGGACCTGTATGACTCAATTGCTGCTGGCAACTTCCCCGAGTGGAAGCTGATGATTCAGACAATGAACCCAGCTGACGAGAACAAGTTTGAGTTTGATCCTCTCGATGACACCAAGATCTGGCCTGAGGATAGGTTCCCTCTTCAGGTATGCATAATTGTTTGGGTTATATAGAATTTATGAACTGAGGGTTCTATGTGAATATTTACACTCTCAACGATCATGAATCATTTGAAACTGGCTTTACATCTGAGTCGAGAGAAGTTCCTTTAGTATAAAAATCCGTGGAGACTACTTTATTTACAATTTATTTCATCGACTATCCTAGCTGGTGGTGTTTTTGTGGAGTAATGTTACTCCTCAATTGAGGATTGTACTTTTCTGTGTGCAGCCTGTAGGAAGGATGGTCCTGAACAGGAACATTGATAACTTCTTTGCCGAGAATGAGCAGCTGGCTTTCTGCCCTGGTGTCATTGTTCCTGGTATCTACTACAGTGATGACAAGATGTTCCAAACACGTATTTTCTCATACTCAGACACCCAACGTCACCGTTTGGGCCCTAACTATCTTATGTTACCCGTCAATGCTCCGAAGTGCGCTCATCACAACAATCACCATGAAGGATTCATGAACTTCATGCATCGTGACGAGGAGGTGAAAGTCTGATTATCCCTCTTTGTATGTTCTAATATGTCTAATGTTTTACCTTAGATTCTAGCGGTTGCTAGGGTACTCAGAAGTGCTTTGATATATGTATCAGTATTCATCTAAATTTCAAATACTACAGTTGCACTTCGAATGCTGACGTTGTGAATATGTTCAAATGTATAGGTGAACTACTTTCCTTCTCGATTTGATCCCGTTCGTCATTCGGAACGAGTCCCAATTTCTCAGTCAAGACTTGCAGGAGTGAGAGAGAAGGTAATTTTCCTGCCCATCTCTTATCGTTAAATATATAGGTATACCAAGAAAGAAAACTGAGCGTGAATAATTTAGGTGTTATTTAATACATATGGACTGAGCACAATCTTTGCGTGTTGATAGATTGATAGCTTGAGAAACTCAAGAATTTTAAGTGATTGATAACAATTCACTGACTCAACAATGTATGATTGTGGCAGGCCGTTATTCCCAAGGAAAACAACTTCCAACAAGCTGGAGAGAGGTTCCGGTCCTTTGACCCTGCTCGTCAAGACCGATTTATTAAGCGTATTGTTGAGCTCCTGTCAGACCCCAGGGTGACTCAGGAAGTCCGTAGTGTGTGGTTCTCGTACTGGATGCAGTGCGATAGGACTTTGGGTCAGAGAATTGCCTCACAGTTCAGTATGAAGGCGTCTATGTAGACCATCTGTTTATTTTAAATCATATTTTAAGTATGTCTACTAGCTTGGATATGAGTGACCGGAATTTGCAAGACTTGGTGTCTCCGAGCTATTGAAACCAAAGCTTGTATTAACAGGATTTTAACGTGAATAATTATCTTGTACTTTTGGACCAGAAACCCTCATGAAAGTTAGTTGTACTTGGCTTTGAACTTGAGCGTCTTGATCATTGTTGTCTTTGAGTATGTATGCTTCAAAAAGTCGTCGTATAGGACATTCTTCGCAATTTTTTGATTTACACATGTCCAAGTTAGAGAATTTGAAATCATTTGCGGTTGAAAACCAGCTGATGTTTACCTTATTTTGGATTTTAGATAAAAATATGCTAACTCTTATCTCTAAACTGAACATATGATTTCATTATTTGAATCAGTAGAATCTTCAACCACAAAACCTTAAACTGTGCAGGGGACTATTTTTGCCTTGTTTATTACTAATATCAGGCGTAGTACCTTATTTCACAACAAAATAAACATCTAAAGAACTGTTCTATTAAATTTGGTGACAATGGAACTAACGATATACAGCAGAAAGCAGTTGGAGTTTCCCTTTGTGTTTATCTACACTATAACGCACATACCTCTCCAGTCTCATAGAACTAGATATGACAAAAGCTTACTAATGATGAAGTAATCTCCTGCTCGATATCCTGGTTACGTTTAAAGTCTAAACTCCTCACGTTCGACTGGTGTAAAGATAACATACTAAATTTATTCGATTCTACATCTACACTTCGCTAAATATCCGTATATCTAATGCTCAACTGCAAAGTCAACCTTATCACAGTGAGAAGTTGCACATCATTTATCATAAGTTAATACTGTTTTCGATTGTACGCATCATGGTTGTCACTGTCAGAGGAAGTCCATGAAGCGGGGTCGAAAATTGTTCCCCTAGATTGAGACGTTACTCATGGGCAAGCTGAACCCTTTGCTGAACTCTACGAAACTTGAACGGGATTCCAGGAGGCCTTGGCAGAAGAACAAGTCAATGGCTGGATCGGTCTGCTAAAACCCAGATTTTAATGTAATCTCAATGTACAGTTGACAATTGCATCTAAAGATACAGAACGAATGTGCTGAAATTCATCATCAGCTTCAAGTATAAAAAAAGTAGCTTGCTGTTCCATTTTCTTCCATAGTCTGCATGACCAGTATCAGTTTATCAAGTTTATCTAGCTTTCTAATTCAAGCAGTAGGCAGTGGACGGAGTATATCAGACCATGCGAAAGGGTTTCCAGCACACTAAATTACATCGTTGTGTAAAATTTACTGGGTCAGATCTCAACTTCAGAATAGTCAACGAGGAATATGTAGGTTCCGCAGAATTACTTAGCATATTTACAAATTTCTATATATTTTCGACACAAAGATATCTGATGCGATTTATGTCAGGCGTGGTTAGGATTTTACAATAAGAATACAAATTGTCAACCTCTTTTGAACAAATTTCAGAACTCTTCGGTCCAATCTGGTATTATCCAATAGTTTAAGGTTGTTGTGGACAATTTTGCACATGTTTCACTGGTAATGTTTTTCTTCTTCTTTATCTACTAGCTTTAGGTTTTGCAACAAACTACAATACATGAGTTTTTCCTTCATCTGAAGAATTTTTATGTAGCAAACAAATATATACTCTTGCACGCTTCAAAACAAATATTTTTCTTGTCTTCTCCCTTATTGAAGTGAATTTTGGCTTTTCTTTTTACTTCTTGAATGTACATTGTAAAAAGAATGACTTTCCTCTTTACAATTATGATAATTTGTAAGGGTTCCTTTGGGCAAGTTCTACTATTAAAAGAGCCTTGATTTATGCATGTTTGGTAATTTTTTTTATGCTTTATATAATTTTGGTAAATATTTATTACAACAAAAAGAATTTAATATTTTTGTTGATCTACCAAGTTTATGGATCTTCTTTTTAAAAAACTTTTAGCAGAAAATTGTAATATAAATTTTAGAATAAGTCTTTTTATGATTGTTTCAAGATCTAATAGGATGAGTTTTACAATAATTTATAGGAATATACATTACAGAAAATTTTAATTTTAAGTTATGAAAAAACATTATGGTTTTTAGTAGAGATATAAAACATCTTACACTATGTTATAGATAGATTTAATAAACATTTTAAAATTTTAGAGGGAAGAATACAAGAACAATGTTTTTTTATATAATTGATAATGTTCTTATATGATTCTCTTTAAAATTTTAAAATATAATTGAGAGTTTTCTTGTATCAAATTCTTCATCTTTTCATGATTTTCTTTTTCTTTTTCCTAAAAGAACTCTCTCAACACATAAATAATAATTTTAATTAGTTAATTTCTTTTTTGTAGGCAGATACATTTTGATGAAAAAAGAAAAAGTAAAAACTTTTTTCAATCATGACTTGTTTATAATGGTTTTTTTTTTTTTTTTTTTTTTTTTGGATAAAATATTTCCTTATAAGTATTAAAATAAGTCAGATAATGCTTTACTTGATTAATGGAAGATACTATTAAATCCATCCAGGTTGAGATGATCCTATAAATATTATTCTTGAAAGGAATATGGTGTCCAAGGTATTTTTGTAAATACTTTTTTTCTCATCTTAATCTTATTTTATGAGGTATTTAAAACCAAATCTCTTACTTTTATTTTCTTAATTTATGATATACCTCCAAAATAACCACGTAAAAGCATGCCATGGATAGAGAATGTGAACAACATTGCAACAATAAATAAATAAATGTAAATAAATAAATAAGATAGACAACTCATTCCCAACCACCCCCCCATTTTTAGCCATATAGGGTGGTCTATTTCCGATCAACTTGACATGAATCACTGATCAGTTCTAATACTGCTTACTCAAAAAATTCTGCTTAAATCAAGCATTCTTGATTTTGTAATCAACCATTGGTCAAAATCAGGTTAACCTATATAACAAGTTTATGTCGAACAGAATCTTCAGCTAAAAAATTCATTGTAATTTTGTTTTGGGGCAAAACAATGTGAAAAAACCTGGAAACCTCCTGAATTCTATTTCCCTAAAAGGTAAAAAAAAAACTTTTAATTTTTCATACCCATACTGCAGATATGTGAAAATGATTAAGTGAGCGGAAATGGGTCGTCTACCTTATGTATGATACAACTCTGTGGAGTGGATATGGTGGCATAAGAGGTGGCCATGGAGGAATCCTTGCGTGATTTGCTTGCAATGTGCAACAATCCACATCATTGGGGGGTGGAGTGGGACTGAGATTGCCTCGCATCAGCTCTCGTTGAGTTTTGATTTGATTCCAGGAGATATTCTGCTCCACCTGGAGTGTGATCTCTGCAGCAGCAGCACAAGGAGAAACATACACACTCCAAATACTCGGGTGATGAGTTTTATAGAAAAGAATGAGAGTGAGGTTAGTGTTCTAAGATTAAACAGACAGCAGTTCGTCAGCCGGATTTCTCCCCTCTGAAGTGTGTGTGTGTGTGTGTGTGAGAGAGAGTGTGTGTGTGAGTGTGTGTTCTGTTCGTTGCTAGTACTGCTTTGAGCTGCTCAGAGCCATCGATGGATAATCTTCGACTCCTCGTTTTGCTGTGTACTCTCATGTGAGTGAAAAGTTGTAGACTTGGACTGAAACTTACGTGCATTTCTAGGAGAAATCCCAGCTGGAGGCTGTCGTCTTCCTGCTCCGCCCGTTCCACTCTTTTCGTACGTCAACTCTTCGTTTCCTCCTCTGCTCAGACTTCGTCGTGCGGAGCAGCTTTGGCAAGCTTGTGGTTTTGAATTTTGAGTTGGGTTGCAAGTTTTGAAGGAAGAGGACATACTGAGGTTTCCGTTGCGCTAGAACTTGGTTACTCGTAGGTCCATTTCACTGGTTTCGCTGTGGTTATTTGGGTTCTTGAGTACTATTGATGATCCTGCCTTCAAGGCCCAATTTTCTTTCTGTGGGTTGGATTTTTTGGTTTCTTCTTTTCATGTAAGTGTATGTCCATTTAAGACACCCACCTTACTACTGCAACACTCATCGCACATTCGCCATGTTTATTTTATCTTGTTATGCCATGTGATTTTCCTTCTGCATTTCTGGACAAGTCTGTTTTCTTTGTGTTGACGATTTGGGGAATGCATTTCACATTGAGAGATGCCTGCTGTTGTTTATGGTTGGCTTAGTTGGAGTGATCCGGAGTGGGGCGAGTGATCTACCGAGGGAGTGCCAGAGCGAGAGAGAGAGAGAGAGAGAGAGAGAGAGAGAGAAGGCGGGCTAGGAAACAATCTGTGAACTTAATAAGCTAGGGTTTGGGCTACTTCTAGCAGCTCAATTGCTGCTTTTTTGGGACATTTTATGTGCTTTTCTGAGCCCTTAGGCATGATTTAGTGTAATTTGTTATAGTTTAGGGTGGCCAATTAATCGATCGTCACACATACTTCGTATTGAAAATGAAATGGTCTCGCATTGATCTCTCTGTTGTTGCTTTGGTTGGCATAATAGTAGCGAAAGAGTGATATGAGTTTTCCTGGTGAAGAGGAAGAAGAAAGGAATGGGGCCTCTAGTTCACTCTCCCAGTGAGGAATACCGAGCCTTGGTTGACAAGGCTTACAGCAAATTCGCCAGATTACGCGATTTTCCACCTTACGGTCGAAACAGATGGGATTACTACTTCCACAAGGCCTTCCAGGTTTACTCCAAGCTGTGGAAATTTCAGCAAGAGCATCGTCATCAATTGGTGGAGGTTGGTTTGAAGCGGTGGGAGATAGGGGAAATAGCATCTCGAATTGGGCAGTTGTACTACAATTATTACCTTCGCACAAGCGATGCCAAATTCCTCTCCGAGTCTTTCATTTTCTATGAAGCCATATTGACCCGGGATTATTTTAAAGACAGTGATAAGGATGCTCCGTTGGCAAACAAACAGCTTAGGTACTGTGCCAGGTTTATTGTTATTTGTTTGCTTCTCAACCGCCGGGAGATGGTGCAGCTGCTAGTGCGACAACTGCGTACCCTTGTCGAAGAGTTTAGCCGCTCACATCAGGTATTGAATGCCTAAGTGTCCAAAGGGCCTGCTAATTCCTTTTCTAATAAACACCGCCGGCAATCCCACCTCACAAAATAGGAAAATAGAAAAACAGATTTATCTATCCAGTGTTCCCTGCGTTTCTTTTAAGTTAAACCTTGGTATGAACTTACTATGGGTGCAGAGCATTGATGCGAAGGAGTGGAAGGTGGTGGTGCAAGAGATAATTCGCTTCATGAAAGCTGATGCTGCGTGTGAGATCAGTAGGCCTTTGAGATACAGCGTGCTTCTGGATCCTCACCCTTTATCAATTCCTGCGGTTGATAGGCTTGAAGGCGCAAAACCTCTGCGGCTGGAGGATGCTATTCTTGCTAGCTACCATCACAATGAAGTTAGTTGCCTTGACTTGATCGATTATGTTATCACATGCTTTAAACCAGTTTCATCCAATACAGGTTGAACCGTGTTATATAAACTTTCCCTAGAAATATTTCAGCTGTGATATCTCAATTCCAAAAAGAAATCTGGACACACATTACAACTTATTCATGGTTTTGAGTCCAAGCCTCTCTCTTCGCATGGACTTATATGTTCAGGCGTAACTTTGGAGTGTAAATTTGTATTTTTAATGCTTCTGAAATGTGTGCTTTTCAGGTCAAATTTAGTGAGCTAAGTTTGGATACATTCCGCATGCTGCAAGCTTTGGAGTGGGAGCCGAGTGGTTCCTTATATCGGACTCGTGTTGGTGAAGTCAGCAATAAGATGAGTTCATCAGGGCATGTTGGAGTTGTGGAGGAGATACCTGATCCAAGCCTGCCACCTAATCCCCATAAGTATGTATTGTATCGGCCATCAGTCCAACATTTGCTTCTAGTAAGTGGGAAGCAACTCTTGTGCCCATCCCCTGGCGATCCTTGCAGTATTCTAATTCTGACTATTCGACTCAATCTTTCTTTAAATGGATTACAAGTGATTTGTACCTTGTTTGGTGTTAAATGATTGACAAATAATTTTAGTAGTTTCAAGATAATTATGGTTTCGACTTAGATTGGTGCTGGCCTTAAAATTTGCTTGTTTCCAGGTATTGGCTACTGTGTGTGAAGAGGTGCCAGCTAATTCTTGTGTGTTGCTTTATGTCGCTGCGTCAGGTACTTTAAAAGTTCTTGAATACTTATATGTACATTGGAAGGAGTTACATCATACTTTCTCGGACATATGATGCGAAGTTCGAAGTTTCCTGTTCTTTACTAGAAGTGTGATATGTTTATTTGCGGCTTGGGTTGTAGCTCCCCAGTGGGTTCAGTCATGCTTGTTTGATGCAGGCAGGTCAGCACGGACGATGTCTTCTCATCCATCTTCAGCAAGCTTGATGATGGATGCGGCAGCCGGGAACAAGATAGTTTCTCTAACTCCTACTCTAAGCTTGAACCAGATGACTATTAATCAGATTCAATCTTATATGGGGCCTGGTATTGATGGTAGGACGATGGATGTTGATCAAAACAACACCTCAGCATTTAGCACTCCTGCAGAAAGTCCCAGGAAAGGGTCATATGGAGATCGGATGTCAACATTGGAGTCATCTGAGAGCTGTACCCCTGGGCTTTGGCTTGGGTCAAGAAAAAGTCCCGGTACTGGACCTTTTTCTTTTCAATTTTTTCTCTTCCAATCATGCTGGGTGAAAAATTAATTGATAACTTTTATACACTTGCTAGGACTGGCACTGTTACTGAAAAGTTACGATGACGATCACTATTTCGATGACTAATGTTTCTTCGTTTTTTCAGGTATGACTAATTTCCTGTATCCGAGTGACATTCTTCCATTCACCCGTCGTCCTCTTTTCATTGTGGTTGACAGTGATAACAGCGCCGTCTTTGAGGTAATGTGACTACCCAATCAATGCTTTTGTATTTTTTTAATCTGTGTTCTTCCATGAGAGAGAGAGAGAGAGAGAGAGAGAGAGAGAGAGAGAGAGGGAGAGCGAGAGCGATTAGTTAAAATTTTAAGTTCGATCCTTCTACTCCCTGAATAATAAGTGCCTTCTACAATTGTGGCAATAAACACCTAACATGGAGTTGTACGTAGCAGACTCTGAGCGGGAACGAGAGAGGTGAACCAGCCGTTCTTTTACTTTCACCCAGTTTACAGCCCGACGATAAAGGCATGGGGGTTCCAGCCTCTGTGTCATACCCCAATAGCTGTGGCAACGTGTTCACATTTTTCTTGACTGCTCCATTACTTGCCTTTTGTCGAGTGAATGGAATTTCAGTTTCAACATTGCCGAAGGTAGATTGACACCGCCTACTGTTGTTGAGTTTTTCTGTTTTTACGTATAATAGTGATATTTTAGATTTTCGTTAACTTTTAACTTTCCTTTTTGATTTTTGGTATGGTTTCTTGAATCTTTTAATTAATGTTTATTAATCTTTGACTTGTGTGACGGATGGGGATTGATTCAAAAAGGATTCAAATCCCTTTTCTCTGTTGAAGTTCTTGCTTTACCCTCTTAGCATTTAAGTGACGTAGGCATTAGTCTGTTGCTTAGTAATAATACTTTGGTATTTAAATTCATGATCATGCAGGGCACACTTCAACAAACAGAGAAGCTCTTATCAAAACTACTAGCAGACTTGGGGAATGCTCTTGCATCTTCGACATCCATCAGCCACGTCTGGGCTCGTGTTTTGTATGACCCTTTTCTTCGTCAGCTTGTAGTCAGGTACCACAGTTATAAATCACGTAAAGCTCGGTTTTTTTTTTTTTTTTTTTTTTTTTTTTTTTTGACTTGATTTAGGGAATGCCAGTTTCTGTCTAGAACTCACTCGACGATTTTATATTGAGTAGAACATTACGTTCGACGGGGTCCTCCCTTACTTGACTCTTATACTAACGAATTTCTTGTTGATTATATGTTATTTTGGTACTTAAGTATCAGCTTATCTTTGGGTTACGGAAATTTGTGCAGATTCATCTTCTGTCGGGGAGTTTTTGCACTCCATTTAAAGTATCGTCACAAGCCTGAGTTCCTACCACGATGTTACCCCGCATTACCCGAGGAGGTCCTTCCAAATACACACAAGGTGGGAAGAATAGTGTATTACCTTGCAATCGCTGTCGGAGCTGCTGATCAGTTTGAATTTCCACACTTCTCATTTAAGGGGACCTCAGATGATCAGAGTCTTCTGGAGGAGTTCAGCGTACTTGGTCTCGGCCAAGACTGAGGAAGGAAGCAGTTTTCAAAATTGAAAGCGCAACATTGTGGTTTTGTGAATTCTCATGCAGGAACCTTCTGTGCTTTATAGTTATATGTAAGAAATTGATTTCTTATTTTCACCGACTCAAATTGTTAGAACTACATAGTGAGTTCTGTTTGCTATAGCTGCCTATGTTGATCTTCTCTTAAAACATCGGGCGGCTTGATTTTTGCGTTAAGATCTTGAAAGATTGATGTTAGATGTATCTATGTAATCTACTGATTGTGAAGGTTTTTGTGGATGGAGAACTTGAGGACGCCAATGTACAGCTGATTCTATCATTTTAGCTCTAGTTTTGGGTTGCTGCATCAACCCAGGTTTTAGATTTGTTAACTTAGATTTGTATAACAAAGGCAGTACTAAATTTGAAGATAACGGAGAATTAGTGTTATAGGTTTTCTATTTTAACAGTGACAGTGAATGTTAATTTGCTCACGAAAGAAATGGAAGTCATATAATTGGAGATACAATAAAGGATTCAAAAGAAAAAGACGTCTCCTCAGATTATTGTAAATAATATTTTAAATTGTAACTTTTCAAAATGAAATACTACTATTAGTAATAAAAACAATTTTTAGCTACTAAAATAAGGAAAAAATGCAAAAAATATGTATTATATGGTGCAGTTTGTGTTAGTTTTACAATGTCTATTGTTATAATTAATCTTTTTTGAGTGAGTATACATAGTAAATATTATTTATTATATTATAATTTGAAGATGCAGTAATCTAATTTGCAAAAATAGCAGATGAGTTTTAAGAAAAGTTGTACTTTCTTGCTGTAGTTCTGTTCCACAATTCTCAGGATATTATTCTAAGATGAAGCCAAAGTATTTCTTCAATACATGTATTTAACTTTAATATGAAATATAAATATAAACAGATTTATAAGTTAAGTTTCAAGTGAAGTATATAGTACTTCTTTAAATTTGTGTAATTCTATTGCATTTACAAAAAAAACATCTTTTACAATAAATTATTATTTTTACTTTGTTCACAATGTTGTTTTAGAAATTCTCCTTAATATAATTAATATTTGTATTTTTACAATATTTGATTTGTCAAAAAGAACTTAATCTTTTATTAATTTAATTTTTAAATACCTCAATTGAAGTATGTATGAAAAATTGTTATATAAACTTCTATACAATATATATATGTTGTAATTTTTAAATAATATATTTATCATTAATATATATTAATTTCATCACATGTTCTTATATTTTGTTTTTTTGTTTTCTGATTATCATTGCTAGATCTAATTAAGAATATATATATATATATATATATATATATATATATTATTATTATTAATATATAAAAAAAAACTTATTCTAAGATTGCAAACCATTTATTATTATTATCATTGTAGAGTCTTTGTCAATAATTAAATTCTCTTACTTAAAGAAAAACCTCAAAGGTATAAAATATTCTTTTTAAAAAATTTAATTATCTAATACATTATAAATTATTATAAATAACTTAGCATATATTATTTTCAATAAATAAGATTTTTTGTAAAATTTATGTTATTTTATCAAAAAAAAAGTTTATGTTATATTAATTTTATAAATTTATGATCATTATTTAATTATGGATATGAACTTTCAATTTTAATTTCAAATAGATGGCTTTTAATATATAAAATGTGTATTACTATGTAACAAATTTATAAATATTTGATTTTATAATTAAATATTATTTTATAGAGCTATATTAATTATAAATATTAATTAATAATAATTCTAATATGATAATTAGTTATTTATTCTATAAACAAGTATTTTTTTTTTATACATATATGTATGTAAGAATAATATACAACATATGTTTTATGTTGCATATTATTGAATTAAAACTATGTTAGTTTAGATTTAAAGGAATTTACAAATATATATATATAAAGATATAGATATAATATTATGATTACAATAAAAAATAAGAATTTATTTGTTTAATTACTTCTTAATTAATTTTTTATTTTATGTGTGTATATTCTTTGATAATTTGTATTAAAAAAAATTCTAAGAAAATATTTATCCAATCTTAGTAGAATTCCTATGTATTTATTTTTTAAAATTTTAATATATATATATATATATATATATATATATATATATATATATTAAGCTTGTTTTAGAGCTGATTAATTTATAATAATTTTCAATTTTTTAGATTCAATTTGCAAATGATTAATTGAAGTGATATATCTAAAAATTATATTTGAATTGTGTAAAATATATATTTTTCTATCATTTAATTCTACATTTCTAAGTTATTGATTTCTTAGATAAGAAATAGAAAAATTCTAAACTATATGGTATCTAATTTATACGAGGATCATATTTTTCTAACAACAATAATTCTAAAATAACAAGATTGCTTAGAAATATTATGGTGTTAAATAAAATTAGACTTTTTTGATCTTATATAATTTCTTCTATTAGTAGGATTTTGTGGGTGACATTATTTAAAAAGAATAGTTACCTTTCCAAAACTTCTACATGTACATGTTTGATCTTTTGTACTAACAATAATTTATAGTATTTAGAAAAAAATTCATTATGACAACATGAAGAAGGATAAGAATCTAAAAAATATAAGATAAAAACAGTAGGGTTTTTCAAATCTAAACAAACTTATTCTAAAAAGTAAATAAAAGGATTAGAAGAAAATATAAAGTCTTCACAAGAAGACATGGTATAAGAATCCAATTGCACAATTCCTATTAATGTTAGAAAAAACTTGTTTTTTTATATTATGTTTTTTTTAGAAGTGTAATACTTTTCTTACAATTTTGCAACTTCTTACAACAATATTTAGTAATATGCTTTGATTCTCTACAATATAGATACAAAGTTTGAACATCAAGCAAGTTGAACAATAATTTCTTTACTTTATATTGTAACTTGTGAAGAAACTGATTAAAAAATCCAGCATCATCCTACTTGATATAAATTGCTGATTTTTTAAAATTATAATATATATATATATATATATATATATTTTGACAAAAATTATTTTTCTTACCTTAATTTTTAATTTGTTAATTTTTATACAAGTTTGTATCATACTTATAAGGAATTAATAATATATATATATATATATATATATATATATATATATAGTTAAATAAAAAAATATTATACAAACAATATCAATTTAAAAAGACTAATATACAACTTTTAAAATATTTTGATATTTTCAAGAGAGAGACAAACTATTCTTTATAAAGCTTAACATATATTATGTTCATGCATATTAATTCCAATAAATACCTATATAGTTAGGTAGAAGTAAATAAAAATAGATTAATTTCATAATATCTTCTAGAGAAGCTTCTTTGATTCTTCACAAATTCAATTTTGACTTTACACATGTTTGTTGTTGATTAGTAGGTTAAAAGCTTGATCAACAAGTTAACTACATGTCACATGTGTTGGTAGCTTGTGGAACAAGCTAATTATATAGTGCACATATAGAAAACATACCTTACAAATTAAGATATGTGTCTTGCAAAGTCAACACATGTTGAAGGTTCTATAGAATATTGCCATATAACTTCTAATTAGAGAGTATATATGGATACAAGAATGAAGCCTTTTTTACTCTTCTCAATGCCTTTTTAGTCATTAGTTTTATTTTAAGATTTTTTAGTCTTCTTATCTTTGGCAATAGCCATTTTAGTTCAATATATTACCATCTTTGAGTGATTTTTTTATCTTTTTTGAGTGATACAAGAGTACATTGATTTTTTTATTTTTTTATTTTTTTATTTTTTTATATTCATGTCTTTGATAATTTGATATGGATGCTAACTCATTATTCTTATCTTATTTTAGAAGCAAGTGGATTATTCTACTTCTATTGATGTATTTTGAAGGTTGCAGAGTATCCATCTTTAAACAAATAGTTTAGTTTTCTAACATTGATTTTTTCTTAAAGAAAGTAGATCACCTCTCTTTGGGGGAATTTTTATTTGAAATTAGGAATTGTAGATTATCTTCTTTTAATTCGACTTGTGAATTTACTAAGTTAATTAAAATGGAAGAAAAAATCATAGATGCTATATTTAGTGGAAGTGAGAATAGATTTGTAACTATTGCAAATCTTCACAAATTGTCAACACTTTAGAGTGGAAATTTTGCGTATGACTAATGTCAACCATAGAATCACTATTCCTATATTTATAGAAAAAATATAAAGTCTATGCTAAGAAATTTTTCAATTGAAGGAAGTAAATAGATGAGCCTTACAACCAAATTCAGGAAATCTTGTTATTAGAAGCATGAAAGAGGCAAGGATTAATATGCTTGAGAAGTTTGATGGAACAAGATCAAAATTTTGAAGATTTTTGCAATAAGTTGAGTTCTATTTAAGATTGCATCTTTTCCAATACCTTAATGGATTAACTCAAGTTGGATTTATAGACACACTTCTTTCTTGAAGTGCTCTCTCTTGCTTTGCACCTTTGATGGAAAATGATTCATAACTCCTTTATGATTTAAATTCATTCTTAGAAGTGTTTACGGCCACATTTGATATTATTAATAATAAATATTTAATATCAAAGATTTGTTATTAATAATATCAAAAGAAAATTCTTTAGAATAATTTATTGCTCAAGCCATTATATATAATAATTAATTATTTGAAAAGTATCATGAACAAAGATTTGGAAAGAGAAGAATAAGTTAAGTAATGACTATAGCTCTTCTACTTTCAAAAACCTATTTATTAAGGCTAGAATCAATATAAATTAATATAGTACATTTTAAACCTCTCACTGAGCAAAAAAAAGACTTAATGTCATCAAGACGGTTTGTACTTATATTGTGGAGAAGCTAAACACACTACTTAATATTATCCAAAGAAGCAATACAATCACAAAATGAGAAGCATGGTTGCCAAAGAAAATGATGTATTAAAAAATATTTTTTTTTAGCTATAATAAAAATTTTGTGGCTGAAATCTTGAATAATACCTAGCAAAGGTTGTATTCTCTTCTGAGATCATTCACCTTATTTTATAATAGAAGTTTATTTAGGACCAAAAAATTACAAAGTTTGAGCCTTGTTAGATTCAAAAGCTTCAATTTATTTTATAAACAAAGACTTTGTCAAAAAATAAGAAATATCATTAGTTAAGAAAATCAAACTTATCCATGTAGAAATAATAGATGGTTGTTTGTTATCTTGTAGAGATATTATACATGAAATGTTTTCTTTAGATGTAGCAACCAGTAGTCATAATAGTTTAATAATATTTAATATTATTAGATC